AAACATTTCTTATTCAATGGCCATAAAAATTATTTCTATTAATGATGTCTCCAAAGTTCAACAAATTTCTCGCAGAAAAATAACTTATCAGAAAACACACCCGCTGTTTGGTGCGCCGCTCTGTGACGAAAACAAGCTTAAGCAATGGCGTCGTCGAACGGTGCACACTCGGTAAGTAATCCTACAATTTTTTGTTTATAGCATAGTTCATACGGATTATTCCCAAAAAATTATGTGTTTTGGAAATGTTGAGTCAAATTAGTCTAGAATTGATTAATTTTATGGAAGAAAACCTTTCAAACAGCCATAGTCCGTAAACTGCATACGTGCCAGGCTGTGATTGGCTCATGTATTTAAGGACTCATAAAACATGAATTTCATAAAAAACGGAACGTATCTACCATGTTATAGAGGGGGTCGACTGTATTTCTATTCAAGCTTTTCTATTAATAGATTATATGCGAAGCATGAAATAGCAGTAACAATGGTGGAGATAGGTACAGAGTAATAAAATTTTTTAACTTTCTTTTATTATTTTATTACTTTCTGCATGGAGATACTGCAAAAGTTAACATCTCCTCCATGTTATCAGCACATCATCAATATATCCAGTAAACAGACAAACAACAAAATACAGAAACTGGATGAAATGTCAAAACTAAATTCACACCTTAGAAATCAACTCCAGCAAAAAGTTAAAATGTTTTCAACCTAATTTGATAGGTCTTCATCAGTTGAGTATTCAAAAATAGAACAAATTTTAATAAAAAGAATATTCAATAAATACCAGTATAACATATATATAAACATCCCAAAGCCAGATGTATTAATATTAAACCAAACAACTGCCATAATTAATTGGGCTATTTTATGCTACAATTAATAAGTAAAAATTAAGTAATTTGTTACTAGAAGTAGATGTTAGTGCCATCTCTTATCAAAATTTATTAATTTATAATAACTTAATAGAGAGGTTGCGGCCAACGTTTTCATCGCAAAAACGTGAATGTTGGACGTTCAGCGCCACCTTC